CAAGTACTGTGCAAAGTTTAATAGAAATTTAATAAATATTTATTAACTGACTGACCAACCTTTGGGATATAACTTTCTTATAGTTACACCTAAAACAATAAACTTTCTATCAGCATGTAATCAAATATCTCTACATTTTGATCACAGTCATTTTATTTCCAAGAGGAGTAAATAAGCTTTCAGACAATTTCAGACAAATTCCTTAGGGAATTGTTTTATATTATTAATAAAGCTGTATAGCTGTATAGCCAAGCAACTAAGATGTGAATCCACAACTATGCAAAACACATGAACATACTTTTTAGTCTTTATTTCTGTTTTTGCTTCTCTTTTGGTTGTTTAGTTGGTTTATTTCATACAATTATTGTCAGTCTTTCCCATTTACCCCATTGATGAAACAATAAAACATATAATATTCATAACAAATATACATAGTCTACCAAAATAAATTCCTACATTTTCCATGTTCAAAAATGTGTGTCTTTCTGCATTTTAAGTCCATCAACTCTCAGGAGGTGGGCATTGGACTTCATTCTGAGTCCTGGGGCATTATGCTTTATTCTTGCATTGTTTGGAGTTTTAAAGTCTTTCAAAGTTGTAATTTTTCTTGATGTTATTGTATTTACATTATCCTCCTTGTTCTGCTCACTTTGCTGTGAATCAACTCATGAAAATTCTTTTTATTTCCCATGAATTTGTTCATTTCATATTTTTTATGCTGTAACAACATTCCATTATATTCATGTACAAAAAATTAAAAAAAATCTCATAGGGAGACAATCCTAAATTTCTAGTTTTAGGCTAATGAAAAAAAGAATTGCAATAAAGATTTTGGAAAATATCAGTCATATTCTTTCTTAGATCTCTTTGGTGTTTAGACCTATTTGTGTCATTGCCGGGTCTAGATGTGTGAATAGTTTCATAAGTTCTGGAAAAGAGTTCCCAATTACTTTCCTGCATGGCTGGGCCAATTCCTAGCTCTATCAGTAGTAAACAGAGGTGTCTGTTTTCCTGAATCTCTTCCAACATTGTTATCTTAGGAAGTCAGGTGGTGTAGTAGGTAGAGATTTGAACTTGGCATCAGGAAATCCTGAGCTCAAATCCAGCCTCAGACACTTAACAGCTGTGTGGCTCTTGTGCAAATCACTTAACCTTTCTGTGCCCCAGTTTCTTCCTCTGTAAAAATGGGATAACAGTAATACCTACCTCCCAGGATTTTTGCAAAAATCAAATAAAATCATATTTGTGAAGTGCTTTGGAAGTCTTAGAGTGCTATATGAATGCTAGTTTTCATTGTAATGATTATTTTCAACTTTTGTCATCTTAGACTAACAAGTGTGAGAAGAAACCTTAGTTACTTCTATATGCATTAGGAGTATTTTTTCATGTAATTATTGATAGCTTTATTTCATTCTTTGAAAACTGCCTATATATGTTTTAGTGTATTAGAAAATGTCTGCAAATCTTATAAATTGGAATAAGTTCCTTATGTATATTTTATGAGACTTTATGTAAAAAAAAAAATCTTCCAGCAAAGACTTCTCCAGTTACTCATTTCTTTTTTGAACTTAAATAGAGTAGTATTATTTGCACAAAACCTTTTTAAATGTTATAAAATCACAAATTGTTCCTTTTCTCTGCTACAATTCTTTCCATCCTTTGGACGTGAACTCATCCCTTATCCATAGATTTAAAAGGTACTTTGTTCCTTGATACCCTAATTTGCTTATATCTCATTCTACATCTAAGTTATTTATCTTTTTGCTACCAATTTTGGTATTTGATGTAAGATGTGGGTCTATACCTAATTTCTTCTGGATAGCTTTCCAATTTTATTTTATCTTTTTAAGTCAAGTCCTTAAGCCAAGTAATTAGGATCTTTTAATGTATCACACACTATCATACAATGTTCATTTGCTTCTATATGTTGTGCACTCATTTTATTTCAAAGATAAGTTTCTTTGTTTATTCATCTGTACCAGTTTGTTTTAATGATTACTACTTTCTTTTTAATATTTTGAAAATGTTAATAGTATTTTTTTTACAATTACATGTAAAGAAAGTTTTCAACATTTACTTTGATAAGATTTTGAGTTCCAAACTCTTTTCTCTTTCCTTCCTTTCCTTTTCCCACCCTTTCGTCCCCCATCCCCAAGACGTCAAGCAATCCGAGATAGGTTATACATGTACAATCATATTAAACATATTTCCACATTAGTCATGTTGTGAAAGAAGAATCAGAACAAATGGGAAAAAAACAAGAGAAAGAAAAACCAAAACAAAAATAGTAAAAATAGTATGCTTCCATCTGCATTCAGACTCCATAGTTCTTTCACTGGATGTGGATAGTATTTTCCATCATGAGTATTTTGGAATTATCTTAGATCATTGTACTGCTGAGAAGAGCCAAGTCTCTCAAAGTCGATCATCACACAATGTTGCTGTTACTGTGTACGATGTTCTTCTGGTTCCGTTCACTTCACTTAGGATCAGTTCATGTAAGTCTTTCCAGGTTTTTCTGAAATCTGCCTGCTCATCATTTCTTATAGCACAATCGTATTCCATTACATTCATATACCACAACTAGTTCAGTTATTCCCCAATTGATGGGCATCCCATAAATTTCCAATTCTTGGACACCACAAAAGGAACTGATATAAATATTTTTGTACATGTGGATCCTTTTCCCTTTTTTATGATTTCTTTGGGATATCGACCTAGTAGTGGTATTATTAGATCAAAGAGTATGCACAGTTTATAACCCTTTGGTCATAGTTCTAAATTGCTCTCCAGAATGGTTGGATCAGTTCACAACTCCACCAATAGTGCTTTAGTGTCCTAATTCTCCTACATCTTCTCCAACATTTATTATTTTCCTTTTCTGTCATATCAACCAATCTGATAGGTGTGAGGTGGTACCTCAGAGTTGTTTTAATTTTCATTTCATTAATCAGTAGTATTTAGAGAATTTTTTTTCATATGACTATAGATAGCTTTAATTTTTTCATCTGAAAACTGCCTGTTTGTATCCTTTGACCATTTATCAATTGGAGAATGATTTGTATCCTTATAAATTTGACTCAGTTTTCTATATATTTTAGAAATGAGGCTTTTATCAGAAATAGTTGCTGTAAAATTGTTCTCCAGCTTTCTCCTTCCCTTCTTATTTTCATTGCATTGGCTTTGTTTGTGCAAAAACTCTTAAATTTAATATAATCAAAATTATCTATTTTGCATTTCATAATGTTCTCTATCTCTTGTTTGGTCATAAATTCTTCCTTTCTCCATAGATCTGACAGGTAAACTATTCCTTACTCTATTAATTTGCTGATGGTATCACCCTTTATGTCTATATAACATACCCACTTTGATCTTATGTTGGTGTACTATGTGAGATGTTAGTCTATATCTAATTTTTGCCATATTATCAGCAGTACCAAATAGTTTTGATAATTGCTGCTTTATAATACAGTTTTGGATCTGGTACAGCTAGGCCACCTTCTTTTGCATTTATTTTCACTAATTCCTTCAATAATCTTGACCTTTTGTTCTTCTAGATGAATTGTCTTATTATGTTTTTCTAGTTCTGTAAAATAATTTTTAGTAGTTTGGTATGGTACTGAATAAGTAAATTAATTTAGATAGAATTGTCATTTGTATTATATTAGCTTGGTCTACCCATAAGCAATTGATATTTTTTCAGTTGTTTAGATCTGACTTTATTTGTGAGAAAAGTGTTTTGTAATGGTGTTCATATAATTCCTAAATTGTCTTTGCAAGTAGACTCCCAAATATTTTATACTGTCTACAGTTATTTTAAATGGAATTTCTCTTTCTGCCTCCTGTTGCTGGACTTTGTTGGTATTATATAAAAATGCTGATGATTTGTGTGGGTTTATTTTATGTCCTGCAACTTTGCTAAAGTTGTTAATTGTTTCAAGTAGTTTTTTAGTTGATTCTCTAGGATTCTCTAAGTATATCATCATATCAGAAAAGAGTGAGTTTTGTTTTTCTCATTACCTAGTCTAATTCCTTCAATTTCTTTTTCTTCTCTTATTGGTAAAGCTAACATTTGTAGTGCAATATTGAATAATAGTGGTGACAATGGGCATCCTTGTTTCACCCCTGATCTTATTTGGAAGGCTTCTAGCTTATCCCCATTACAGATAATTCTTGCTGATGATTTTAGATACTACTTATCATTTTAAGGAAAGCTCCATTTATTCCTATACTTTCTAGTGTTTTTAATAGAAATGGGTGTTGTATTTTGTCAAAAGCTTTTTCTGCATCTAATGAGATGATCATGTGGTTTCTGTTAGTTTTGTTATTAATTCTGTGAATTACGCTAATAGTTTTCCTGATATTGAACCAGTCCTTCATTTCTGGTATAACTCCCACCTGGCCATATTGTATTATCCCTATGATAAATTGCTTTAATTTCTTTGCTAATACTTTATTAAAAATTTTTGCATCAATACTCATCAAGGAAACTGGTATATAATTTTCCTTCTCTGTTTTGGCTTTTCCCAGACTAGGTATCAGCACCATGACTAAGAGGGAGACACCTCCTTACCCCATGTTTGTTACAAGACAATCTATTTCTTTTACCCTTATAGTGATGGACAATGGAAGTGTCCTTGAACTCCTGGGGGATAACTTCCTCTTGCCATATAACCCAGAAAATTTCAGTCAATTTTTGTATGAGACATGAATTTAAGAACTGATTATGTCATTTGTAATCTGTGTCACCAAAAGCAGGATACAAAACATCTGGATTATAACATTCTGTTCTAAAAGATGAAAGGATTTGAATACATGATCACAGAGGTCCTTCCTAGCATTAGGTATTATAATACTAGGATTCCAGTGTTTTTGACCCTCTCCTATCTGCTTCTGGAAGACATTTGTTTATCATTGTGTTAGGGCAGGATACTGGCAGGTGGTATGGTTAAGGACAGTGTGGCATGGTTAAGGACAGTGTGGCATAGGGAACAACAATGTCATCTATGCCACAGAGTATACCAACCTTTGAAGACTTGGGAGTCACAGAAGATCAGCACAAAAGGACTGATGGCTGGGAACCATGCTGCTAGGAGGTCAGAGGCAGCCACGAGCCAAGACTGATACTTGTCAATTTTAAAGAGGTAAAATGACAAGCCAGAATTAATGGAATAAAAGCAGACATATGTGCTCACTAGTAAGAGGATAGCATAGGTGGCTCTTATCTCAGGGAAAGTTCTGAGAGAGAGATGACAACTGTGAATATGTTTGACTTGCTGATGATGTCTGTGCAGGAGAAGCACTAAATAGGCACTGGACCATATCATGAAAACCACACACATAACATCAGGAATAGAATAGATAATTGCAAAAAGTTTGGCATTAAAAGAGGCAGGAGCTGAAACTGAACAATATCCCAGATGCCACATCTTTATATTATTAGTCAGATACCTTGAGTTATGCATAGTGCCAAGCAAAGTGAAATTTATCAGCAGGTAGAAGCACCAACAGAAGAAGCAGGAAGGGACAATGCACTTTGGGATTTGGATTTTGAGATCTGTCCATTTGGAATTACTGGGACTGATGATGATGACCTGAAAACCACTCAAGAGGCAGGTGATGCTGAGGGAAACACTCCGGGCCACACTATGAAGATAAAGGATAAGTTTACACCCAACATGATTCAAGAAATTTTTGATGCCTAAACAGACAATCATCTGAGGGATTCCCTTGGAGAGAAGCACTTTTGAGTTGGCCAAGGCTAAGTGGGCAAAAATGCACTCTATGGGCCTCAGACTGTGACCAATGAGTAAAGTGTAACTATGTAGGCCCAGGAGGAAGAAATTTCCAAGGATCCCAACTCCCATTTGAATAAGGAAGAGAATGCCCAATATCAGGTCACTAAACATTATTTTCTCCAAGACTTGGGAAGAACTGTGGCCAGTCCTGACAAATCCTACAGAAGAAACAGAGATTTGTTAAATTTCTAAAGCATATTCCTGAAGAACATGGGGTTCCATTTGGGCAACATTGGAATAACTTGTGTGTTGGGCTGGATTATGATATAACTGAGCTGGAGGTGAGTGGGATGACCCACTGAGACTGGTTTGTATTTCCTGAATTTTTCATTGGAATGTGAAAGATAGTAAAATATTAGGAAAGAACATGGTTATGATGCCAGAAGTTCACTTTGCAATCTGGAGCCTTTTCTCCTTTTCATGGTTTTGACCCAACTGCTGAAAGAATGAATTCACAAGTTCAATCCTAAAAGCCTAGGTGGGTGGGAATGTTTTCACAATGCATTATCAAAATATGATAAATAAGAATAAGATAATAAAAAATGACAACTTAAAATGAGAAATTACCACAGAAAATCATGTGACCCTAGGAAAGACAGTCAACTTCTCTCATTCTCAGTTTCCTGTCCTATTAAATGGAATAATAGTAGCTACTTTACAAGGTTTCTGTAGGGACCAAATGAGATAGTACAACAATTGCATTGTGAACTTTAAGGTATTATAAAATATATTAATTTATCATTATTATGAATGATTATTCTTAATTATAATTCAGCAACTTAAGCTTAGAAAAATGATGAAATTTAACAGCTTGGATGTAAGGCAAAAAATGTTATATTATATTTTTGTTGCAACAAAGATCGTGAGAATTGTTTTGAATCTTAAATTGAGAATGCTTGAGGAATCACTAAACTCCTCCAACCACTTAACCAAACAAAATATCTTTAAAAACAAGAAATATTCCTTTCTGCTGCCAAAATATTAATAGTTGATTCATTTTAATTAAATCCCAAAGCAACAAATAATCTAAATTTTTGTACATTAATGTAAATTTTGGTACATTAATATAAAAGAATATCATAATTCTATAAAAGAGGCAAATACGAAGAAACAGGTAATTAATAAATAAGCATTTACCAAATACAAATTATATTCCAGATAATGTCCAAGGTGCTATGGATACAAATTGAAAAAGAGATAATTCTTCCCCTCAATTAGCTTTAGGTCTAACAAGAATGCAAGGATAAGTGAAAGTGATATATATGAGAATTCTAAAAGTATATACGTTGTCTACATTTTTTAAAAGATAGAAATAGAAGGGCAGAAAATATGGACAAGTAACAATAAATGTAACAGTGCAAGAACAGCAATAAGTACCAATAATAATATGAGCTAGCATTTAAACAGTACCTACCATTTGTTAGTCACTGTGCTAAGAGCTTCACAAATAACATCTTAGCACTAAGCAAATGCAAAGCTTATATGTATATGTATAATTTTTATTTTCTTTTATTTTTTACTTTTCTTTTCTTTTATTATTTTCTCTATATAATTACTTTAAAATTCCTCATTTTTATTCCAGTGAAGAAGTATTGCCGGGTTCTCCTTGTCTTTGGGAGTGGAACATATCTTCTAGTTGATTCTACCAATCTGACCTACCTTCAAGCAGGGTCTCGGAAATAGGATTAATATTTTGTTTGGTCATGACAACCCATAAAATAACGCAAATACAAAATGTCCCTCATCACAATCCAATCTGTTTCTATGATGACAACAAGAAAATGAAGGACAGTGGGGTTAAATGTTTAAAAAAATTACAAAGGCTTTAGACGATGTGGCACCATTAATTTACGTCTTGTTACTCTAAATGTGAGGTGCTAATACAGTGATCAGAAAAGGGGTTCAGTACTGATAGAAATGGATTGTATCCATCTTGATATTTTTTCTACAAATTAAACTAGAAGAAAAAAGGAATTTGGAGCCAAATGAAAGACTGGGTCAAAGGTTCTCCATAAAGGTATCAATGAAGTAGGTGACAAAATATATCCAGGAGCAGGAAATATCACATCATGGTACACATGATCATTATGTGAGTACTTACAAAACATATTGGCAACAAGACCATGATAAAAAGTAACTGGGGCTTGTACATCAGTCATCGAGGATAATCTTATATCGTAGATTTAGGTGTGGAATGAACCTTTGAAGCCATTTAGTCAGTCATTCAAAAAAACATTTATTCTGCACTCCTTATGTACCAGACACTGTGCTAAGAGCTGGGGAGGCAAAAAAAAAAAAAAAAAAAAAAAAGGCAAACAACACTCCATGCTCTCAAAGAGCTCTCAGTCCAATGGAGATGATTTGCAAACAACTATGTATCAAAAAAAGCTGTGGATTGGATAAATGGGAGGCAATCAACAAAGGGAGGACCAGAATCAAGGCAGATCGGGAAAGACATTAGGTAATTCCTGTTAATTCCCACTTGATGGTGGGATTTTATTGGGAATTTTAAGGAATATAGTGAAGGAAGGAGACATAACTCCAGGAATGGAAGATAGATAGTGAAAATGCCCAGAGTCAGGAGATTGAATGTCTTGTTTGAGAACGAACAAGGAGGCCAATGTCACAGAATCACAGAGTACTTGTAAAGGGACGGGGGAGGCTGGAAGGTGCAAGAAAACTGGAAAGACGGATAGGAGAGGTTATGATGGACCTGGAATGACAAAGAGAGGATTTAATATTTGATCCAGGAGGTAATAGGGATCAACTGGTTTCTATTGAGTAGAAGAGAGACATGGTCAGGCCTGTGCTACAGATAGATATGTTTACGAACTGAGTGGAAGATGAACTGGAGCATAGGCAGATTTTTGGCAGGGTGACCAACTGGCACTCTATTGTAATAGTCCAAGAGTGAAGGGATGAGCTCTTGTTTCAGGGTGGTTGCAGTATTAGAGAAGAGAAGGGGTTGTATGGAACAGATGTAATAAAGGTAAAATTAACAAGTCTTGGCAACAGATTGCATATGAGGGGAGAGAGAGTAGAGGTAAAAAGGAAGAAACGTACTTTATGAGCCTGGATGACCAGGCGGATATTGGTACCCTGAAAAATAATGGGGACATTCAGAAGAGGAGAGACTTTTGAGGAAAGATAATGGGTTCAGTTTTGGACATGTGAAGGGTTAATGTATAAGATCTTCCCTACCCACAACCTAAGGCAAGGGACAAGGAACTTCCCTAATGTATTGTTCTGGGTTTTGTTCCAACCGAGACCTACCTTGGGGAACTATCTTAGAAACAGGTCTTGAGGTAAACATCCAGGGACTTGGCCAGTTCCTGGGAATTGACCTGAGACATTTTTGATTGTTCTTGAGGTCAGAGAGTTTTGGCCAAAACTCTCAGGTCCTTAAGATCAATCACCTGTTCCTTGGTTCCCTGCCTTCTTTGTGTAAGGATAATAAAAAGGCTCTCTCTTGAGAAAGGGATTTTAGGAGACTCCCTCGGAGAGGATGCCCTGCTGTAGGGACTTTCCCAACCTAGACCCCGACGGCTGTGATACAGGACTCCCCCAGCCAGATGTTCAGGAGTTGGTACTTCCTTGGATTGGTGATGTATTTCTTCTTCATCTCTCTGTCTTTCTGTTAATAGTCTGCTTCTAAGATTGTATAATCATACATAATCACACTTATGTGCATATATGTTTATGATTATTATCATTATTAAATCATTTACAAGCTAGGAAAAGTGTGAACGTGTCTTTGTGGGTACAGATCCGAACCTGTGAAGCAAATTATAAGTTCTGTAGCCCATAATGCCTTACTGTTACAACATGTTAAATTTAAAAATTCAATAGGACATTCAGTCAAAATGCCCAATAGGCTAGTGGAGATGTGAGATGAGAGGTCAGCAGAAAGATTAGGGCTGGATAAGTAGATTTTAGAATCATCAGCATACAGATGACCATATAATCTGTAGGAACTGATACCAAGTGAAATATTATGATGGTAGAAGAAAGGTGGGCTCATGAGAGAGGCCTATGGTATGCCAACGTTTAGCAGGCATGGCCTGAATGAAGATTCAGCAAAGGAAACTGAGAAGGAACAGTTAGGTAGGTAGGAGGAGTACCAGGAGAAAATAGAGTCATGAAAACATGAAGTTCAAGGAGAAGAAGGTCATCTACAGTGTCAAAATTTGCAGAGATATCTGTAAGGATTGAGAAGAGTCCATTCAGAATGGTAATTAAGAGATTGTTAGTAACTTTAGAGAGAGCAGATGCAGCTGAATGCTAAGATTAGAAGCCAAACTATAGAGAGTTAAGAAGTGAGGAAGAAGAGAAGAGAAGGGTCCTTCTGCAGACAGAGTTATCATAGAGAATAACAAAAAACTGGAGACAAGATAAGGAATGACTGTGAGTTTTGTTGTTGTTGTTGTATAGTTGAGGATGTGTTTTTTGAGGATGTGTTTGTAGTCACAACAAAAGCAGCCAGGAGATAAGATATTAAAGGGAAAATAAAGGCGATAATATACTAAAGAAGACCGAATGTAATGGGACTACTTGTGCATGCCTTAAAAAGGAGGGGGAGTATGACTTAATGTGAGATGAATAAAGAGGAAATAGAAATAAAAGCAACTGACTCCTTTGAGGGGAAGAGAGGATAAGAAAAAAGTTCTTTGATAATGATCTTTTTTTTCCAATCAGATACGAGGCAAAATTGTCATTTGAAAGAGGAGGGTAGGGGAGGTATAGGAAGTTTCAGGTGGGATGGTGAGTCTGGGAAGTACTTCTGTGGTCAATGGGATAGTAAGTCAATCAGGGAGGGATGAAAAGATTGTTTTGCTGAAGACCCAGCTGAGATTACATAACATAAATGACATACGAGCTAAAACTGAATAACATTCCCTCATTTGGTTCAGTCCCTTCATTTTATAAGGATGGAAAATGAGGCTGACAAAGGTTAAGTGACACGTCTAAGTACACATAGACAATAAGGAGTGGAATTATCAATTGGTAAACCTGAAAATTAAAACAAAATGAGAAGAATTAAAATGAGAAATAAATCTTTTTTTGAGAGTAAAATTAAAAATTAAAATAATCCTAAAGAACTTTAATAAGAA